ATCCAAAACAATTAAGGCAAGTATCCTCAAGCAAAACAGCAAGAAATCCCGAATTTCCCTCTTTCTGACGCTCGAACTCGCCGAGTACCACAATGGACTCGCCGAGTTGAGGGCCTACTCGCCGAGTACACTGTGGTACTCGCCGAGTTCACTGTGGTACTCGCCGAGTTCATCAAGCAGGGAGCTTCAAAAAACGTTTTTGCAACTTGAACAAACATACAAGGCATCAATACAATAGAAACCAATCAAGGCTCTGATACCACTGATGGGTTTAAGCCATAAGAACATCCTATGTGCTCATACAAACCCTAATGCTTGGATCTAGGTTTCTCTATTGTACATGCATTCATCCAAGACTTTAAACCCTAGATCTAGCATGTGATAATCAATATTAACATATGAATTAGGGTTTAGATCATACCTTGATTGTTATGTAGCAATAACAATCTCAAATCCTCCTTGTAATGGCTTTAGAAAGCTTAGAGTCACAAGTGTCACTCCTCTAATGGTTCACAAACACCAAGAGCAAGAGGATGAAGAGGAGAAGAGAAGGAGGCTCTCAAAAACGTATGGAAACCCTAGAAGGAAGCTTATATACGTTTTTGAGGCATAAGGGCTCTATATATAGTGAGGCTATTAGGGTTATCTAACAAGGAAACCCTAATTTGGATGCTTAAGCCCTAAGCAACCCATGGACTCCTTTCCTTAAGGGCTTTGGACGATTTCTAATGGGTTTCCCCATAGAATTCGTCCACCCCTTTAATATGTAGTCCATTAGCTCAATATTCAACTATCATACTATTGACAGTTCTAGTCCCTTAAGTTTAATTAATCTCTTTTAGCCACAAAACTAATTACCAATTAATTCTTGACTAATATTAATTAAACAATATGATTTCTCCTTTAATATATTATTCTCATAATATATTAATAAATCATATTTAATCCTTTCTCTCCATAATTCATCCTATCAAGTTGCTTTGGCGAAGGCAACCCAAAAGGACCATGCACCATCGGGTCAAGTACATACCAAAATAGTTATGGACTTAGACACTAATCCAACACCCTTCACCATAAATTCTAACATGTATCCCTCACTGACAGGTATCAGGAAGTTGGTAATGAAAATAAGCAGAGCATATTTTTACCATATCCTTTGACAGCTGAAGAAATGAAAGCGCATTGGTTTCATATGTAAGGGGGTGAATAACTTTTGCATAATGTCCAGAAGCAACAAACTCAAAATCCATGTTACTGATGGCATCCATGAACGCACCTACAGATATAAAATAAAAATGAAATTAATGACAACTAAGAACAATAAAAGATGAAAGCAAGCAATATGATTACGCACCAAATTTGAATCTTGTATTGCAAAGAACATCAGGGTTAGGTGTACACCCACATTTATACTCATCAATAAGGTAAGATGCCTGCAACATATTATTTTGTAAGCAATAAAGTTCCATTGATGATGATGAATGTGATAGAATGCTTCAAGAGGGGTGTGACTAACCACTTTGTCCTAATATTCATCTGTCAGATGTACAACTTCGAGTGCTACATCAACGTGAAAAAAAATGTTGATATATTTCCTTCAATACTAATCAAACTTGGAGGAAACAAAGAAAAAGATCACATAATCATTGGTTTGAGTGATAGAATCGAGAAGTTAATCCGTTAAAACAAAGCAGGGAAATGTTTTTGAGCCTTCAAATCCAGTTAAGCACTAACGGAAATCTGAAGATAAAATGAGATGGATAACATGAAGGTGAAGAAAGTAACCTGATTGCAAACAGCTTTTGCGTACTTCAAATCCTCTTCCCATGGACATTTAGACCAAAAGTTCTGGAAATCTTCCTACGAACGAATTTAGTACCAGAACTAGCTAAGGAATTATAGGTTTTAAACTTCAAAATGCTCAAAGACAAAGAGAAAGGTAAAAGTAAAATAAGAAACCAATAAGAGAGGAGATTTCTATTCATTTCAATCATATCATCCATCACAAAAATCGATGTTAAACTCTTGAATTGGAGTAGAAGTATCATCCGACAAGAGATGAGAAATTTGCAAACACTTACAATTTGAATTTTTAGATAACCAACAAAATTAAGTTTATATTCGAAACCAGACATTGTGGGCATAAACCTGAATAATTTGATTCGTATATGCATTCTAAGGTAGAAAGTGGTGCAGGAGTGTCCGACTGCGTGGAGGAGGCGAAATGCGAAACTGCTATCGACGCCACCAATGAGAAGAACCGTAATTTTGAGAGGGCGCTTGCTATTGGTCATTGAGCAAGACAAGTAACTGTTGTCCAAATCAGAAGTCGTGTCGTTAGAAATTTTGGGAACTGCTGTAGATGATAGAGAACGAGGTGTGTTGATGGATAAGATTGTTCTATCAGCTCGAGGGTAGCTTTGTCGATTTATTAACCGCTGGGGTTTGTGAATCGAGTGTGAGACGAAAGCCTTAAGGGGTAAAGAGTACAGCTTCATGGTGGGGTGAAACAGAGCGGCCATTGTTGTTCTGAGCATCATTTCTTCGAGCTTTTGCGCCGTGTTGATAACACTGTGCGTGAAAATAATAATTTAGAATGAACTTTTTACACTTTCACCCCTATACTTTAAATTTCTTGTCACTTTTATATCAAGACATAAAAAGTTAAACACTACTACTAGCCCAATAGAAAGCTCAGCATAATCATTGAAATATAAGTTAAACACCTCTTTAATTTGCAAAAACAGTACAACTTACTAGCATGTAATTTCATTTTCATATCATTCTTACACCAGACACCTATAATGCTAGGCTCGCAACGGCTCATCCCCATCGTGGCATTATTCGCCTCCAACTCATCTCTGTCTCCGGCATTCTCAGCATTCTGTTCTCGACATACATTTTTTTTTTTTGGTTTCGAACAGAAAGAAAAAAAGAGCAGCTAAAGAATGTAATTAACCTAGAATAAAAAGATTTTTAACCCTAGCTAACCGTACAAACATTCTCTCATCTTTTCTATCTTAATTAACGTGTGTGTGTGTGTATATATATATATATTATATATATATATATATATATATATATATATATATATATATTTACACACACACTAGTAGTGTACCTGTGCAAAGCGGCGGCGACAAATAGTTTTCGGGCGGTAATTAACTCATGTTGTTGAATAGTTTCCTTGTGGCAAAACAGTGAATAAAAATTTAATAATGAATCTTGTACATCAAATTGTCACGAATGAAATAACCATTAACCATAATAAATAAAAACCAGTAGTAAATAGACAATCTATCCTCTTAACTGTTATGCCATAAAGCAAAAGGTTCACATGCATCAAATCAATCACTCGTATAGCTTTTGCTAATCATCCTTAAATTTGGCCTTCACTCATGCTTAACCATTATTAATTTTTGGTTTGCATATTAAATGTTTCAACAAAATTCTTATGTTCCCGACTAGAAATTTTCATGCTTAAGCAAGTTGTAATGTTTTTTTTTGCACAACAATGAAGCAAAGATTAAGAAGGTTATAAATTCTTATGAAGCTATAAAATCTGAAAGAAATAACATCAAGTAAAGAAAAAGAAGCTTGGTGAAGAATGGAAACTCGGTTTGAATACTGGTGAAGAATGGAAAGTAAGACAACAATATTCGTTCAGAATGGATTAACATTTATTCTATCAGAATGATTAGTAACTATATTCTATCATAATGTATTAGTAGTTTACTTAGATTTCAATGTTTTGATTTGATTTTTAATCATTCTCAGTTTTATTCTTAAAGAATAAATGTAATTGTTAACCATTATTACTTATATTCTTTTCGAATGAATATTCATAATTGTTTTGTTAAGAATGAATACATCTTAATTAACGTGTGTGTATATATATATATATATACACACACACACACACTAGTAGTGTACCCACGCAAAGCGGCGGCGACAAATAGTTTTCGGGCGGTAATTAACTCATTTCGTTGAATAGTTTCCTTGTGGCAAAACAGTGAATAAATTTTAATAATGAATCTTGTACATCAAATTGTCATGAATGAAATAACCATTAACCATAACAAATAAAAAATAGTAGTAACAGAAGATCTATCCTCCGAACTACTATGCCATGAAACAAAAGGTTCACATGCATCAAATCAATCACTCGTATAGCTTTTGCTAATCATCCTTAAATTTGGCCTTCACTCATGCTTAACCATTATTAATTTTTGGTTTCCATATTAAATGTTTCAATAAAATTCTTATGTTTGAGACTAGAAATTTTCATGCTTAAGCAAGTTGTAATGTTTTTTTTTACAACAATGAAGCAAAGTTTAAGAAGGTTATAAATTCAGAAAGAAATAATATCAAGTAAAGAAAAAGAAGCTTGGTGAAGAATGGAAACTCGGTTTGAAGACTAGTGAAGAATGGAAAGTAAGGCAACAATATTCGTTCAGAATGGATTTTCATTTTTTCTATCTGAATGATTAGTAACTATATTATATCATAATGTATTAGTTTTTTACTTAGATTTCAATGTTTTGATTTGATTTTTAATCATTCTCAGTTTTATTCTTAAAGAATATGTAATTGTTAACCATTATTACTTATGTTCTTTTAGAATGAATGTTCAGAATTGTTTTGTTAAGAATGAATATAACTACGGATTTTAAGATATTAATATTCTTTTCATATGAAATTTGTATTCATTAAAAATTATTAATCTTGATAATACATGTTTATATATTTTGTCAGAATTTAATATTTTTTTTTCAAGATAAGCATAAACATATTCCTTTAGAATGTACGAATTAATATATTTATTATCGAAAAAATCAGATTTTTAACGTTTAGAGAATTAATTATTCCTTAAAATCTTGTACATCAAATTGTCACGTATGAAAGAACTATTAACCATAACAAACAAAAAACAGTAATAAGACGATCTATCCTCCTAACTACTATGCCATGAAACAAAAGGTTCACGTGCATCAAATCAATCACTCGTATAGCTTTTGTAAATCATCCTTAAATTTGGCCTTCAATTGTTCCCTTTTTAACTTGAGTGCGGCTATCACTAATCCGGATTCAGGTGTCCATGGATCTGGCAGCAGCTTTATCTTTGCAGGAAGCTCAAACATGTCTAACTTTGCCTCTTTTCCTAACTACAAAACACAATTCATAAGAAAAAGGTGGGAGGATGTGATGAACAAAGATATAAACACCCTCATTGAAATATAAATTAAAACCAACTTCGGAGTGAGATTGGTGGACCTCGGAGACAGCCTCTTTTTTAGCACAAAGCTCAGCATAATCATTGTAACTAATGCCACCACTTTTGGCCCATTGCTCAAGAACCTGGTGTGCAGAGACTACTAATGATACACAATAACTGGTCTGTACGGTTAGATAGGTTAAAAATCTTTTCTTCTAGGTTAATTTCATTCTTTAGCTGCTTTTGTTTTCTTTCTGTTTGAAACCAATGGAAAAAATGTATGTCGAGAACAGAATGCTGAGAATGTCGGAGACGGAGATGAGTTGGAGGCGCAGAATGCCGAGAAAGCCGAACATAAATTCTCCCGTCGTCGGCATTGGCTTAAACACAATAATTTTCGATTAATGGTGTTTTTGTCAACAAAAACACAATCTCTCTCCAAAGTTGGTCCCATGACCTGCTGATGCTGAACAGATCATCACGTGAAACTAATGCCGTCATTAATTGGTGTTTTTGTTAACAAACATCCCAACTTTAGTCCTTTTTGATATGTACTAAATAAACACAATAACTGGTGTGTACGGTTAGCTAGGGTTAAAAATCTTTTCTTCTAGGTTAATTTCATTTTTTAGCTGCTCTTGTTTTCTTTCTGTTCGAAACCAAAAGAAAAAAAAAGGTATGTCGAGAACAGAATGCTGAGAATGTCAGAGCAGAGATGAGTTGGAGGCGCACTCAAGTTAAAGAGGGAACAATTGAAGGCCAAATTAAAAGATGATTTGCAAAAGCTATACGAGTGATTGATTTGATGCACGTGAACCTTTTGTTTCATGGCATAGTAGTTAGGAGGATAGATCGTCTGTTTACTGTTTTTTATTTGTTATGGTTAATGGTTCTTTCATACGTGACAATTTGATGTACAAGATTTATTATTAAATTTTTATTCATTGTTTTGCCACAAGGAAACTATTTGACGAAATTTGTTAATTACTGCCCGGAAACTATTTGTCGCCGCCGCTTTGCGCGGGTACACCACTAGAATGTATGTATGTATGTATATATATATAAGTATATATATATATATATATATATATATATATATATATACATACACACACGTTAATTAAGAAAGAAGAGATGAGAGAATGTCTGTACGGTTAGCTTGGGTTAAAAATCTTTTCTTCTAGGTTAATTTCATTCTTTAGCTGCTCTTGTTTTCTTTCTAGTTCGATACCAAAAGAAAAAAATGTATGTCGAGAATAGAATAGTGAGAATGTCGGAGACGGAGATGTGTTGGAGGCACAGAATGCCGAGAATGCCGATGACGGGGATGAGCCTTGCATTATAGGGGTCTGGTGTAAGAATGATATGAAAGTGACGTTACATGCTAGTAAGTTGTGCTGTTTTATTCTTACCACACATACACACTCACAAAAGACATGAATTTTGTTCCAAGTGGAAGTGGAATGTCAACTGTAATAAGTTTATGCAAAGATCATTTGATTGTGACGTCTGCATATAGATGGTTGTAAACTTTAAACAATTTAGTAGAAGAAAAATGCTACAAATAAGGAGATTGAAGTGGCTAATATTGTGATTGCGCTTGCTTTGGACTTCATCAAGAAGTTGCCTCGAGCAAGTAGAATGTCCAAGTTAATTTCATTATAATCATTTTAGTAAAAGCAGTAACACCATCAATTCATCATTAATGGTGTTTTGGTCAGAGGCTTACAATGGTAGATGAAAATGGGAGTCGAGTATTGGTTGGGCAGAAAAAAAAATAGCAACAAAGGCTTTCTGATAGCTTCTTCCCTTCCAATTAAAAACCTCCTGCTTTGGACTTGTAGTTTATTTTTTAATTTTTTTTCATTATTGCTTTAATCAAACTATGTAAAAAGTATTGTTTACTCAATCCAAAGTAAGATTGTTAGTTTTTAACAATTAATTGATACTCAAGTTTTCTGTAATATTAAATAAATATATTTGAACATAAACAGAAACAGGAAACCCTTAGCATATCGAATCTGTCAAACAATCTTGAGTTTTTTGTTTGATCATGATGGGTTTACTGATGGGTTTTGAGCATTCTAACACTTCCTAAGTGTACATGCAACCCTAATAACCTTGAATCTATGTTTTCTCTATATACATGCAAATTTCTTTTCAAGGTTATTTCCTAACTAGCATGGCATGGGGATTACATAGAACATAAAACTAGTAGAAATACATACCTTGTTGTTGCTTGGATTCCTTCAAGACTTTGTGAGCCTAGCACCCCAAATGTTGTGCCTCAAATGCTTCACACAACACCACAAGACTTGGAATAACTTGAGAGAATGTCACTTAGCCTCAAAATCGGTTATGCCCTCTCTAGTAACACTAGGTCCTGATTTTGCTAGCCATAGGGTTCCTTTTATAGTGTTGTCACAATTAGGGTTTACACATGAATGCCCTTAATTGTCATGACTCTTGATTTCTCATGACCCATGGGTTTGTAACTCCCATGGACTATCCATGGAGCTCCATATGGTTATAACCAAACCCATAAACCATGGATCATTAATCCACCATAAAAGAATTGATGATTGTCATAATCAACCCTATATATTTAATTAGTCTCACTTTGATCACTAGATTAATACTAGATTAATACTTGATCAATACTAATTAAATAATACTATTATTAATATATTAGAACTTATAATATATTAACAATCATAAGTGCCTAATTCTCTCATTTAGTCTATCCAAGTATTGCAATGCCATGCAACCCAAATGGACCATGCCGGGTCGGGTCAAGTACATACCAAATAAAGTTATGGACTTAGACACTATATCCAACAGTCTCCCACTTGGATAAGTCTAATAACTATATTTGCAAATATGACTTCAAAATCCGACTAGCAATCGTAGCTCTTTCAAAGTCTCTCGGAACTGAGATGATGATGATACGCCATTTAAGATAAGTGATCATATAATCCTCTGTTCTCATGATATCAGCCGGACAAACACATGGAACATGGTCTTACTTATTGTCCAGCATTTGTTTCTCGATCTCTGATTTGTTTCGACATAGAACTAAATTGAACACATCAATTAGGTTCTGACCGGGCCCGGTACATAGGTCAAAACCAAATCATCGAGGGGCCCAGATATCGCTTCTATTTCTAGAAGGAACAGATAAACTTCGACTGATATGCTTGTACTAACTACTTGTTGAATTATTCACAAAGGCACGTTTTATGACATCGAGTTACCAATGCGTTTTCGTGTAATCAATGAATAACCAACTCATAGTCAACAACTCATATCTCTAGGTTTGAAGATTTATATGATATTACCGTCTCACGATCACTCGAGATAAATTCCATGAAGTGATGCAAGTGAGCGTGGGTTGGATCCAATACTCAGCCCTTATGAGTACTCATGAATGTTGTAGCAACCATTGCATTGTCCAAAGCACTTTTAGACAAATCATACAAGCCAATTTCATGACAGTCTTAAATCAATACTTACTTCCAAAGTTTGACTGACTGTGGATGGTTTGAATAATAACATAATTATTCTGGAAGTAAAAACATGCAAAATTGAAACATAGTAAACAATCAACACAAGATAGTAACACCTTACTCATAAATAAATAACAACTTTTATTTATCATCAAATGTCAATTACATTTTACAAGTTTCAGGAATCTAATTATTGAAACTAATATCATCCTTCAGCCCAATGCGCCTCGCATGCTGTAAATGCTTAACCCTGCTCAGTCCCTTCGTGAGGGGATCTGTCGGGTTCTCATCTGATGATACCCTCTTAGCCACGAGGAGTCCTTCTTCTATTCGATGTCTGATGAAATGGTATTTTCTGTCAATGTGCCTAGATCTCCTGTGATCTCTTGGTTCCTTAGCCAAAGCAACCGCACTTTCACTGTCACAGAAAATTTCCATTGGCTCCTTTATAGCTGGTACAACTCCAAGGTCTCCGATGAAGTTCTTTAGCCATATGCCTCCTTAGCTGCTTCACTTGCTGCTATGTACTCTGATTCACAAGTAGAATCAGCTACTGTCTCCTGCTTGGAACTTTTCCAAGTAATTGCCCCTCCATTTAGGATAAAGACCCAGCCTGACTGAGAGCGGAAATTATCCCTATCAGTCTGGAAGCTAGCATCGCTATATCCTTCCACTCTCAAGTCATCACTGCCTCCGAGGGTAAGGACCCAATCCTTAGTCCTCCGCAGATACTTGAGAATGTTCTTTACCGCTGTCCAGTGTGCTTTGCCAGGGTTCCCTTGATATCTACTGACCATGCTCAAAGCAAAGGCCACATCAGGGCGAGTACAAGTCATAGCATACATGATCGAGCCCACAGCGGAAGCATATGGTATATGACTCATTTCAGCTATCTCAACCTCTGTACTCGGACTCTGAGTTTTACTCAGCTTGGCATTACTCTGGATTGGTAATTCTCCTTTCTTGGAATCTTGCATACTGAACCTCTTCAGCACCTTATCCAAGTAAGTACTTTGACTAAGTCCAATTAGTCTCTTACTCCTATCTCTCAATATCCTTATCCCTAGGATATAGGCAGCTTCCCCAAGGTCCTTCATAGCGAAACACTTCCCAAGCCAGGACCTAACCTCCTGCAAGGTTGGGACGTCGTTTCCTATGAGAAGTATGTCATCCACATACAACACCAAGAAGCTAACTATGCTCCCACTAGCCCTGACATACACACAAGACTCATCCTCACTCCTAGAAAAGCCAAACTCTTTGACTTTCTCATCAAAGCAAAGATTCCATCTGCGAGATGCTTGTTTCAATCCATAAATGGATTTATCAAGCTTACACACTCTATTAGGGTATCTTGTATCGACAAAACCCTCTGGTTGAGCCATGTAAACATCCTCAGCCAACTTTCCATTAAGGAAAGCGGTTTTGACATCCATTTGCCATATTTCATAATCATGAAATGCAGCTATGGCTAACAATACTCTAATAGACTTAATCTTAGCTACTGGTGAGAAGGTCTCATCATAGTCAACTCCCGGAGTTTGAGTAAAGCCCTTCGCAACCAGTCGCGCTTTGTAAGTATGTACCTTCCCATCCATGTCGGTCTTCTTCTTGAAGATCCATTTGCACCCAACTGTCTTACGACCTGGTACATTGTCAACCAAGTTCCAAACTTGATTGTCATACATGGACTGAATCTCGCTGTCCATAGCCTCCTTCCATTTAGCAGACTCAGGGCCTGCCATGGCTTCCCTGTAATTATTAGGTTCATCCAAATCTATTAGTGTACTATCACTAATAAATGTATCACCTTCAGTGGTGATGTGATAACCATAATAAAAATCAGGTGTGTTCCTCACCCTAGTGGAACGTCTTGGAGGTACAGACTCATCTATCGGATCAACAGGAGTTCCTCCTCAGGTTGGTCGATAGCATTTGAGGTTCCTTCACCACTTGACTCTTGAAGCTCTTCAAGGTCAATTTGCCTCCCACTGTCCCCTTGGCTTATGAATTCTCTCTCACGAAAGACTCCTCTTCTTGCTACAAAGACCACATTATCACTGGGTCTGTAGAAGAGGTAACCAAAGGATCTCTGTGGGTAGCCGATGAAAATACACCTCTCACTTCGAGGTTCAAGCTTATCATGAGTCTCACGCCTCACGAAAGCTTCACAACCCCAAATCTTGATGTGGTCCAAATTGGGAACTTTCCCAGTCCACATCTCGTGAGGTGTTTTGGCAACCTTTTTAGTAGGGACTAGATTAAGGATATGGGCGGCAGTCTCTAAGGCATACCCCCAGAAAGAGATTGGTAACGAAGCTCGACTCATCATGGAACGAACCATATCCAACAAGGTTCGATTGCGCCTCTCAGCTACACCATTCAACTGTGGTGTTCTGGGAGGTGTCAATTGTGAGACAATCCCACATTCCTTAAGATAGTCAAGGAACTCAATGCTAAGATACTCTCCTCCTCGATCGGATCGGAGCATCTTGATGTTCCTGCCCAATTGATTCTCCACTTCCTGCTTAAACTCTTTGAACTTTTCAAAGGTTTCTGACTTATGCTTGATTAAGTAAATATATCCATATCTACTGTAATCATCAGTAAAAGTCACATAATAGCGATTAGCATCCCTTGTAGCAACTCTGAAGGGCCCACACACATCCGTGTGTACAAGGTCCAACAAACCTTCACCCTATCACAAGTACCTGTGAAGGGTGACTTTGTCATTTTTCCAAGTAAACAAGACTCGCAACTATCATCTGACTTGAGGTCAAATGATTCCAAGACTCCAGCCTTTTGGAGTTGGCCTATGCGCTTCTTGTTAACATGTCCAAGACGACAATGCCACAAGGATGCTTTATCCAAGCTATCTGAAGAATCAATATACAACACATTATTTCCTAGATTGTCTACAACATTCACGGCTTCATATACACCATCACAAGGTAATGCTTTAAAGTAAAATACATCATTGTAATAAACATTAATAGCACCATTTTTATTATCAAATGAAAATGAAAAACCTTGTTTGTACAAGCCATGAAAAGAAATAATATTTCTCGCCATTTCGGGCGAGTAACAACACTTATTCAAATCTAACATTAACCCATTATTAAGCAATAAAGAATAAACTCCTATCTTGGTAACAGGTGATGCTTTCCTGTTGCCCATGACTAAGTTTATCTTCCCGTGCTCCACTTGCTCACTTCTTCTTAGTGCCTGCAAATCAGTACAAATGTGAATACCACAACCTGTATCAAGCACCCAAGAATTAGCATTAGATGAGTTATTAGACAATATTGTGTAAATACCTGCATGGGTGGGTTTAACCTTCCCATCCTTTACATCTTGCAGATATTTAGGGCAGCTTCGCTTGAAGTGTCCCTTATCCTGGCAATAGAAGCACTGTGCTTTCTTTGTCCCACTTGAAGAGGAACCATCAAGAGTCTTACCCTTGGTACCCTTCGAAGGGTTTTTCCTCTTCTTACCCTTTCCCTGCCCAATAGCCAGAACAGGGGCTGTTGAAGGAGTAGAAGTAGCAACCGCTTTACCCTTAAGGCCATTTTCAGCTGTCCTTAAGAGTCCTTGAAGTTTGCTAAGTGTGACTTCCTCCTTGTTCATATGATAAGTCATACGAAACTGATCATAACTTGGAGGTAAGGAATGGAGAATGATGTCAATCGCCATTTCCTCAGGAAAGTCAACATTTAGCTTCAGCAACCGGTCAACGAACCTTTGCATCTTCTGCAAGTGACCGGTGATGGGTTCACCATCCTTCATCCTTGCGGTTATCATGGAGGAGATGATTTCATACCTCTCCTGACGCGCGCTCTGATGGTACCTTTCCATCAGATCCAGGTGCATCTCATAGGGGTAGAAATCTTCATAGGATTTTTGAAGTTCAGGAGTCATGGTGGCCATCATGATGCATGCTACTTTAGTAGCATCCTTTTCATGTGCAACAAACTCCGCAAACTCTTCAGGAGTAGCAGTGGCTTCACTCACAACCTTAAGCTCCCTATCGAGGACATATTCTTTGTCCTCATAGCGGGTAATCATTCTGATGTTTCTGATCCACTCATTGAAATTGGATCCATCAAAGATGACCTTACCACACAAGTTCATAAGGGAAAGGGAGCCTGTTGGGTTTGAGCCAGAAGCATTGTTGGAAGACATCTGAAAGGAAAGAAGGCAAGTTTCATTAGATTAGGAATCCTTAATAATTCACCCAAATGGAAATATTAAGGCTAGGATCCAACAAACTATTTATAGTTGGAAGAGGGATGCCGTAATCCATACTATAAAATATTTGAAGGTAGGTAAATGACGATTTACCAATTTCCACCATAAGAACGAAATATTTTATTATTAGGTTTTATTGGTTTTGAAACTCCTAGATCTTTTGAGATACATTGAACTTTTCAATGGCATGTTTGAATCTCGATTGTGCCCTCTCAAGTTTGTGACTGGGATGCCGAGGATCACAAACAAGGTGTGAATAACCATACAAATTGACTTGGTACCCTCAACAATATTACCTAATCGATGTGCCGGTTAACCACACACGCTCCACCGATCTATAATAAGGTCAAGTTACCCTTTGCCACTCTTACTAGTCCATGTTAGTGTGCCGGTTAACCACACACGCTCCACTAACGACTTGGTAAGGTACAAAGTGTAATTTTATGGGCTAGCACCAATTTCACATTTTCCTAAAGTAACTAAGATTGGGAATTTATAATGTATAGTTACTTTATAATTCATTATACTTTTAACAAGTATTTAAAGTCGTATCCTACCCGTTCGGCTAACGACCCTCCACCGATCAAGGAAGCGGTGGGTGAGAGTGGACACCCATTAAGTCACCATTTTATAGGCAACAACCTTATACCCCCTTATAGACCGGCTTCGTGAATGAGGCCTACTAACGGTAAGAATGACATATTCTTATACATATCTATATAATAAAATTATAATAATAGTATAAGTGTTGATTTTTAAACTTTTTAAAAATCTAAGGTTTAATTTGGAATTAAAGTATTAAAGTGTAAGACTTTTCAAATTCCAAAACTTGAGGGCAAGATTTGAAACTATTCCAAGTCTCTTCAATTTGTAACTTATGAGTTTTAATGGTTCATAAAAATGAAGACTCTTCATTTTATGAAACCTCTTTAGTTCTTTAATCACAATTTAAAGAAGTGACTTTTGGTTATCCATAACTTGAGGACAAGTTATGGACACCATCATTGCCATTAAGATCATGAATTAAACATACATGGAGGTTACATATAATTCCTATGATCTTCTAAACTCATATGAACACAAATTCATGTCAAGCAATTTCAAGAGAATCATATAAACATATACAATACTTGAAAATTGATAAAAGTCATGTAAAATGGGTTAACATAATCATTATCATTTTGAAAAACAGATTTTACAAGTCCAAAACAGATTGGGATAATGATCTTAATCCATTTCCAGCAACAAAACTCGAAAAAACTGCCCAGCACGCTCCTACTCGCCGAGTGCATTATTCTACTCGTCGAGTAGGATGAATTTGTTCATGGACTCGGCGAGTCCAGTCGTCAGAATGCAGAATTTTCGATTTTTAAGCAGTTTTGCATCAAGTATACAGAAAACAATCCTAGGCTCTGATACCACTGATGGGTTTTGAGCATTCTAACACTTCCTAAGTGTACATGCAACCCTAATAACCTTGAATCTATGTTTTCTCTATATACATGCAAATTTCTTTTCAAGGTTATTTCCTAACTAGCATGGCATGGGGATTACATAGAACATAAAACTAGTAGAAATACATACCTTGTTGTTGCTTGGATTCCTTCAAGACTTTGTGAGCCTAGCACCCCAAATGTTGTGCCTCAAATGCTTCACACAACACCACAAGACTTGGAATAACTTGAGAGAATGTCACTTAGCCTCAAAATCGGTTATGCCCTCTCTAGTAACACTAGGTCCTGATTTTGCTAGCCATAGGGTTCCTTTTATAGTGTTGTCACAATTAGGGTTTACACATGAATGCCCTTAATTGTCATGACTCTTGATTTCTCATGACCCATGGGTTTGTAACTCCCATGGACTATCCATGGAGCTCCATATGGTTATAACCAAACCCATAAACCATGGATCATTAATCCACCATAAAAGAATTGATGATTGTCATAATCAACCCTATATATTTAATTAGTCTCACTTTGATCACTAGATTAATACTAGATTAATACTTGATCAATACTAATTAAATAATACTATTATTAATATATTAGAACTTATAATATATTAACAATCATAAGTGCCTAATTCTCTCATTTAGTCTATCCAAGTATTGCAATGCCATGCAACCCAAATGGACCATGCCGGGTCGGGTAAAGTACATACCAAATAAAGTTATGGACTTAGACACTCTATCCAACATTTACCAAGCTTAGATTTATCTTCCATTTTTGCAATATGACGAGCCTTCTCAGAAACAGAAACAGGAAACCCCTTAGCATCATCCCATGATTCCAAAATTACCCCTGACCCCACACAAAGATCTTGTTGATAAAAAGCTGCAAATTGGCCGGTTGCGAGACCCTGATCATCTTCAGGTAATTGGACAGTACCAATACCATCTTTTTCTTCTATATGCAAACTGCAATCATAGAAAAGCAGGCCATGTCGAACCTGTCAAAAACACGTGTAAATGTATATTAAGTCTGTTATTAAGTGAAAAATTGAAGTCATGTAATGATTATGTTTACCTTTCATCTTAAGTGGTTTAAGTTATGAGGAGGATATCCGCTGATCCATCCAAAGGATCCAACACGAAATGATCGCCTTCTTTTATCAATAGAATAATAGTTTCTTGATACAAGAACCATATTATTTTTTTACATCTTTCTCAACAACATACCTGCATGGAAACATGACATGTATTTTTTTTATAAATAAATAAATGTTTAAATATTTTTACATAGAAATAATAATAATAATAATAATAATAATAATAATAATAATAATAATAATAATAATAATAAAAGGTTTACCACGGTCCTCCTGCAAGACCCAAACCTTGGCGTTGACCAATTGTGTAAAAAACCAGAAGCCCCTGTGGACTACTAAAAATCACCTGTTTCAGCATCTAATAATATACCTTCTTTTTCACCAATATGTCTTCCAACAAAATCTAATAATATACCTTCTTTTTCACCAATATGTCTTCCAACAAATTCACTGAACCAAATCAGTATAATAATTACATAAATTTCCACTAAGGCAAATCAAATTTCCGGGCAACCTTCGGACTTCTTCCTGATAATTTGATTGGTTTAAATAGTAAATTCGTGAATTCGGTGTTGTGTTTCATAAAGCAAACTTACTTACTTTTGGAGTACATCTACTATGAAGCGCTAGTCTTTTAAGCTGATCTTGTGAGAGATATGAAACAAAGTAGGTCTAATCCTTCACCAAAAATTCTAACATGTATCCCTCATTGACAAGTATCAGGAAGTTGGTAATGAAAATAAGTAGAGCATATCTTTACCATATCCTTTGACAGCTGAAGAAATGAAAGCTCATTGGTTTCATCTGTAAGGGGGTGAATAACTTTTGCATTATGTCCGGAAGCAACAAACTCAAAATCCATGTTACTGATGACATCCATGAATGCACCTACAGATATAATATAAAAATGAAATTAATGACAAATGAGAACAATAAAAGATGAAAGCAAGCAATATGATTACGCACCAAATTTGATTCTTGTATTGCAAAGAACATCAGGGTTATGTGTACACCCACATTTATACTCATCAATAATGTAAGAAACCTGCAACATTGTAACTTGTATGCAATAAGTTCCATTGATGATGATGAATGTGAGAAAATGCATCAAGAGGGGTGTGACTAACCACTTTGTCCCAATATTCATCTGTCATATGTACAACTTCCAGTGCTACATCAACCTGAAAAAAAATGTTGATATATTTCCTTCAATACTAATCAAACTTGGAAGAAACAGAGAAAAAAATCACATAATCAGGGATTTTGAGTGATAGAATCGAGAAGTTAATTTGTTAAAACAAAGCAGAGAAGTGTTTTTGAGCCTTCAAATCCAGTAAAGCACTAACGGAAATCTGAAGATAAAATGAGATGGATAATATGAAGGTGAAGAAAGCAACCTGATTGCAAACAGCTTTTGCGTACGTCAAATCCTCTTCCCATGGACATTCAGACCAAAAGTTCTGGAAATCTTCCTACGAACGAATTCATTACCAGAACTAGCAAAGGAATTATAGGTTTCAAACTTCAAAATGCTCAAAGACAAAGAGAAAGGTAAAAGTAAAATAAGAAACCAATAAGACAGGAGATTTCTATTCATTTCAATCATATCATCCAACACAAAAATCGATGTTAAACTCTTGAATTGGAGCAGATGTATCATCCGACAAGAGATGAGAAATTTGCAAAAACTTACAATTTGAATTTTTAGATAACCAACAAAATTAAGTTTATATTCGAAACCAGACATTATGGGCATAAACCTGAATGATTTGATTCGTATATGCATTGTAATGTCAATCAAAAGAAAAGCATACGCACTTTCAACCAGATTTTAAGGTAGAAAGCGGTGCAGGAGTGTCAGACTGCGTGGAGGAGGCGAAGTGCGACACTGCTATCAACGCCACCACCGTGAAGAACCGTAATTTTGAGAGGGTGCTTGTTATTGGTCATTGAGCAAGATAAGTAACTGCTGTCCAAATCAGAAGTCATGTCGTTAGAAATTTGGGGAACTGTTGTACATGATAGAGAACGAGGTGTGTTGATGGATAAGATTGTTCTATCAGCTTGAGGGTATCTTTGTCGATTTATTAACCGTTGGGGTTTGTGAAGCGAGTGTGAGACGAAAGCCTTGAGGGGTAAAGAGTACAGCTTCGCGGTGGGGTGAAACAGAGCTGCCGTTGTTGTGGGGTGAAACAGAGCTGCCGTTGTTGTTCTGAACATCATTTCATCGAGCTTTTGTGCCGTGTTGATGACACTGTGCGTGAAAATAATAATTTAGAAAGAACTATTTACACTTTCACCCTTCTACTTTAAATTTCCTGTCACTTTTATATCAAGACATAAAAAGTTAAACACTACTACTAGCCCAATAGAAAGATCAGCATAATTATTGAAATATAAGTTAAACACCTCTTTAATTTGCAAAAACAGTACAACTTACTAGCATGTAATGTCATTTTCATATCATTCTTACACCAGACACCTATAATGCTAGGCTCGCAACAGCTCATCCCCGTCGTCGGCATTTTGCACCTCCAACTCATCTCTGTCTCCGGCATTCTCAGCATTCTGTTCTCGACATACATTTTTTTTCTTCTGGTTTCGAACAGAAAGAAAAAAAAGAGCAGCTAAAGAATGTAATTAACCTAGAATAAAAAGATTTTTAACCCTAGCTAACCGTACAAACATTCTCTCATCTTTTCTATCTTAATTAACGTGTATGTGTGTGTGTATATATATATATATATATATATATATATATATATATATATACACACACACACTAGTAGTGTACCTGTGCAAAGCGGCGGCGACAAATAGTTTTTGGGCGGTAATTAACTCATTTCGTTGAATAGTTTCCTTGTGGCAAAACAGTGAATAAAAATTTAATAATGAATCTTGTACATCAAATTGTCACGAATGAAATAACCATTAACCATAATAAATAAAAACCAGTAGTAAATAGACAATCTATCCTCTTAACTACTATGCCATAAAGCAAAAGGTTCACATGCATCAAATCAATCACTCGTATAGCTTTTGCTAATCATCCTTAAATTTGGCCTTCACTCATGCTTAACCATTATTAATTTTTGGTTTGCATATTAAATGTTTCAACAAAATTCTTATGTTCCCGACTAGAAATTTTCATGCTTAAGCAAGTTGTAATGTTTTTTTTTGCACAACAATGAAGCAAAGATTAAGAAGGTTATAAATTCTTATGAAGCTATAAAATCTGAAAGAAATAACATCAAGTAAAGAAAAAGAAGCTTGGTGAAGAATGGAAACTCGGTTTGAATACTGGTGAAGAATGGAAAGTAAGACAACAATATTCGTTCAGAATGGATTAACATTTATTCTATCAGAATGATTAGTAACTATATTCTATCATAATGTATTAGTAGTTTACTTAGATTTCAATGTTTTGATTTGATTTTTAATCATTCTCAGTTTTATTCTTAAAGAATAAATGTAATTGTTAACCATTATTACTTATATTCTTTTAGAATGAATATTCATAATTGTTTTGTTAAGAATGAATATAATTACGGATTTTAAGATATTAAAATTCTTTTCATATGAAATTTGTATTCATTAAAAATTATTAATCTTGATAATACATGTTTATAATATTTTGTCAGAATTTAATATTTTTTTTTCAAGATAATCATAAACATATTCCTTTAGAATGTACGAATTAATATATTTATTATCGAAAAAAACAGATTTTTAACGTTTAGATAATTAATTATTCCTTAAAATCCTGTACATCAAATTGTCACGTATGAAAGAACTATTAACCATAACAAATAAAAAACAGTAATAAGACGATCTATCCTCCTAACTACTATACCATGAAACAAAAGGTTCACGTGCATCAAATCAATCACTCGTATAGCTTTTGTAAATCATCCATAAATTTGGCCTTCATTTGGTCCCTTTTTAACTTGAGTGCGGCTGTTACTAATCCGGATTCAGGTGTCCATGGATCTGGCAGCAGCTTTATCTTTGCAGGAAGCTCAAACATGTCTAACTTTGCCTCTTTTCCTAACTACAAAACACAATTCATAAGAAAAAGGTGGGAGGATATGATGAACAAAGACATAAACACCCTCATTGAAATATAAATTAAAACCAACTTTGGAGAGAGATTGGTGGACCTCGGAGACAGCCTCTTTTTTAGCACAAAGCTCAACATAATCATTGTAACTAATGCCACCACTTTTGGCCCATTGCTCAAGAACCTGGTGTGCAGTGCAGAGACTACTAATGATACACAATAACTGGTCTATACGGTTAGATAGATTAAAAATCTTTTCTTCTAGGTTAATTTCATTCTTTAGCTGCTCTTGTTTTCTTTCTGTTCGAAACCAAGGGAAAAATGTATGTCGAGAACAGAATGCTACGAATGTCGGAGACGGAGATGAGTTGGAGGTGCAGAATGCCGAGAATGCCGAACAGATCTTCTCCCATCGTCAGCATTGGGTTAAACACAATAATTTTCGATTAATGGTGTTTTTGTCAACAAAAACACAATCTCTCTCCAAAGTTGGTCCCATGACCTGCTGAGGAACAGATCATCACGTGAAACTAATGTCGTCATTAATTGGTGTTTTTTTTAAAAAAAATCCCAACTTTAGTCCTTTTTGATATGTACTAAATAAACACAATAACTAGTGTGTACGGTTAGCTAGGGTTAAAAATCTTTTCTTCTAGGATAATTTCATTTTTTAGCTGCTCTTGTTTTCTTTGCCTTCGAAACCAAAAGAAAAAAAAAGTATGTCGAGAACAGAATGCTGAGAATTCCGGAGACGGAGATTAGTTGGAGGCGCACTCAAGTTAAAGAGGGAACAATTGAAGGCCAAATTTAAAGATGATTTGCAAAAGCTATACGAGTGATTGATTTGATGCACGTGAGCCTTTCGTTTCAGGGCATAGTAGTTAGGAGGATAGATCGTTTGTTTACTGTTTTTTATCTGTTATGGTTAATGGTTCTTTCGTACGTGACAATTTGATGTACAAGATTCATTATTAAATTTTTATTCACTGTTTTGCCACAAGGAAATTAGTCAACGAAATGAGTTAATTATCGCCCGGAAACTATTTGTCGCCGCCGGTTTGCGCGGGTACACCACTAGTATTTAAGTATGTATGTATGTATGTATATATATATATATATATATATATATATATATATATATACACACACACGTTAATTAAGAAAGAAGAGATGAGAGAATGTATGTACGGTTAGCTTGGGTTAAAAATCTTTTCTTCAAGGTTAATTTCGTTCTTTAGCTGCTCTTGTTTTCTTTCTGGTTCGATACCAAAAGAAAAAAATGTATGTCGAGAACAGAATGTTGAGAATGTCGGAGACGGAGATGAGTTGGAGGCGCAGAATGCCGAGAATGCCGATGACGGGGATGAGCCTTGCATTATAGGTGTCTGGTGTAAGAATGATATGAAAGTGACGTTACATGCTAGTAAGTTGTACTGTTTTATTCTTACCACACATATACACTCACAAAAGACATGAATTTTGTTCCAAGTGGAAGTGGAAAGTCAACTATAATAAGTTTATGCAAAGATCATTTGATTGTGACGTCTGCATATAGATGGTTGTAAACTTTAAACAATTTAGTAGAAGAAAAATGCTACAAATAAGGAGATTGAAATGGCTAATATTGTGATTGCGCTTGCTTTGGACTTCATCAAGAAGATGCCTCGAGCAAGTAGAATGTCCAAGTTAATTTCATTATAATCATTTTAGTAAAAGCAGTAACATCATCAATTCATCATTACTGGTGTTTTGGTCAGAGGCTTACAATGGTAGATGAAAAGGGGAGTCGATTATTGGTTGGGCAGAAAAAAAAAAAGGAACAGCAACAAGGGCTTTCTGATAGCTTCTTCCCTTCCAATTAAAAACCTCCTACTTTGGAGTTGTAGTTTAATTTTTTTTAATTTTTTTTCATTATTGTTTTAATCAAACTATGTAAAAAGTATTGTTTACTCTATCCAAAGTAAGGTTGTTAGTTTTTAACAATTAATTGATACTCAAGTTTTCTATAATATTAAATAAATATATTTGAACATAAACATAAACAGGAAACCCCTTAGCATATCGAATCCCTCAAACAAACTTGATGTTTTGGTTTGATCTTGACGGGTTTACCAAGCTTAGATTTATCTTCCATTTTTGCAATATGACGAGCCTTGTCAGAAACAGAAACATGAAACCCCTTAGCATCATCCCATGATTCCAAAATTACCCCTGACCCCACACAAAGCTCTTGTTGATAAAAAGCTGCAAATTAGCTAGCAGCGAGACCCTGATCATCTTCAGGTAATTGGACAGTGCCAATACCATCTTTTTCTTCTATATGCAAACTGCAATCATAGAAAAGCGGGCCATGTCGAACCTGTCAAAAACACGTGTAAATGTATCTTAAGTCTGTTATTAAGTGAAAAATTGAAGTCATGTAATGTTTATGTTTACCTTGCATCTTAAGTGGTTTAAGTTGTGAGGAGGAGATCCGCTGATCCATCTAGAGGATCCAACAAGAAATGATCGTCTTGTTTTATCAACCGAATAATAATTTCTTGATACAAAAACCACATTATTTTTTACATCTTTCTCAACAACATACCTACATGGAAACATAACATGTAGTTTTTTATAAATAAATAAATCTTTAAAGATTTTTATATTATTATAATAATAATAATAATAATAATAATAATAATAATAATAATAATAAAAGGTTTACCATGGTCCTCCTGGAAGACCGAAACCTTGGCGTTGACCAATTGTGTAAAACAAGAAGCCCCTGTGGACTCCTAAAAAATCATCTGTTTCAGCTTCTAATAGTATACCTTCTTTTTCACCAATATGTCTTTCAACAAATTCATTGAACCTATTCTGTATAATAATTACATAAATTTCTATTTAATATATATATATATATATATATATATATATATATATATATTCTCCAAAGTTGGGACTTTTGTTAACAAACATAACGTAAACATACCTTCCCAAGAAAGCATATTCCCTGTGAATCCCTTCTTTCTTGGTTAGGCAAATCAAATTTTCGGGCAAGCCTTCGGACTTCATCCTGATAATTTGATAGGTTTAAATAGTAAATTCATAAATTGTGTTTTGTTTTTCATAAAGCAAACTTACTTACTTTTGGAATACATCCAAGAGGAATCACTAGTCTTTTAAGCTGATCTTGTGAGAGATATGAAGGAAAGTATGTTTGATCCTCACCTAAAATTCTAACATGTATCCCTCAATGACAGGTGTTAGTAAGTTGGTAATGAAAATAAGTAGAGCATATCTTTACCATATCCTTTGATAGCTGAAGAAATGAAAGCTCATTGGTTTCATCTGTAAGGGGTTGAATAACTTTTGCATAATGTCCAGTACAAGGTTGTAGAACTCGTTACTCGGCACCTGCTCGGCCGACTACCGAGTAGCGAGTAATCGGGAGTACTCGGGGAGTACTCAGATTCGGTAATTCATGTAGAAATATTTTTAGGGACATTATATGTGTCAAAATTGAAGTTAAAATCATAAGTTGATTTAAATATATAACAAAATTTTATACATGTGAATACACAAAAATAGAAAAACACATAATGGTCTCACTTCATGAATAACTACTGAAAATTTAAGATATATGTATGTGTGTTAAATAATAGATCATTAAGTTTATTATACATATTAATCACCGAGTTGACCGGCTTTTACAACACTGCTCAGTTCGGTAAAGGGTCGATCGGGGAGTACTCGGGATTTTGCAACTCGCCTCGGTAAGGGGCGAGTAGCAAGTACTCAGAGGAGTACTCGGTCAACTCGGCGAGTTTTACAACACTGGTCCAGAAGCAACAAACTCAAAATCCATGTTACTGATGGCATCCATGAACGCACCTACAGATATAAAATAAAAATGAAACTAATGACAAATGAGAACAATAAAAGATGAAAGCAAGCAATATGATTACGCACCAAATTTGATTCTTGTATTGCAAAGAACATCAGGGTTAGGTGTAGACCTGGCAATTTCAGACACGAAGACATGAATCTATGAGAGACACAACACGACACGAATACACGACACGAATACATCTTAAAAATTGAGATAAAGCTTATTTCTCATCGTGTAATCGTATCGTGTACAATTCGTGGCTGACACGTTTTCATGACACGAATACACGATTTGCAAGGTCTAGTTAGGTGTACGCCCACATTAATACTCATCAATAAGGTAAGATACCTGCAACACTGTAACTTGTAAGCAATAAGTTCCATTGATGATGATGAATGTGAGAAAATGCATCAAGAGGGGTATGACTAACCACTTTGTCCCAATATTCATCTGTCAGATGTACAACTTCCAGTGCTACAGCAACCTGAAAAAAAATGTTGATATATTTCCTTCAATACTAATCAAACTTGGAAGAAACAAAGAAAAAGATCACATAATTAGGGATTTGAGTGATAGAATCGAGAAGTTAATTTGTTAAAACAAAGCAGGGAAGTGTTTTTAGCCTTCAAATCCAGTTAAGAACTAACGGAAATCTGAAGATAAAATAAGATGGATAATATGAAGGTGAATCAAACAACCTTATTGCAAACAGCTTTTGTGTACTTCAAATCCTCTTCCCATGGATATTCTGACCAAAATTTCTCGAAATCTTCCTACGAACGAATTCATTACCAGAACTAGCTAAGGAATTATAGGTTTCAAGCTTCAAAATGCTCAAAGACAAAGAGAAAGGTAAAAGTAAAATAAGAAACCAATAAGAGAGGAGATTTTTGTTCATTTCAATCATATCATCCACCACAAAAATCGATGTTAAATTCATGAATTGGAGCAGATGTATCATATGACAAGAGATGAGCAAATTTGCAAAAACTTACAATTTGAATTTTAGATAACCAACAAAATTAAGTTTATATTCGAAACCAGCCATTATGGGCATAAACCTGAATGATTTTATTTGTTTATGCAATGTAATGTCAATCAAAAGAAAAGCATACGCACTTGGAACCAGATTTTAAGGTAGAAAGCGGTGCAGGAATGTCCGGTTGCGTGGAGGACGCGAAGTGCGACACTGCTATCAACGCCACCACTGAGAAGAACCGCAATTTTGAGAGGGCGCTTCCTAAAAAATCACCTGTTTCAGCTTCTAATAATATACCTTCTTTTTCACCAATATGTCTTCCCAAGTTGGGATTTTTGTTAACAAACATAACATAAACATACCTTCCCAAGAAAGCATATTCCATGTGAATCCCTTCTTTCTTGGTTAGGCAAATCCAATTTTCAGGAAAGCCTTCGGACTTCATCCTGATAATTTGATTGGTTTAAATAGTAAATTCATGAATTCTGTTTTGTGTTTCATAAAGCAAACTTACTTACTTTTGAAATACATCCAAGAGGAAGCACTAGTCTTTTAAGCTGAGCTTGTGAGAGATATGAAAGAAAGTAGGTCTGATCCTTCACCTGAAATTCTAACATGTATCCCTCACTAACAGGTGTCAGTATGTTGGTAATGAAAATAAGTAGAGCATATCTTTACCATATCCTTTGACAGATGAAGAAATGAAAGATCATTGGTTTCATCTATAAGGGGGTGAATAACTTTTGCATAATGTCCAGAAGCAACAAACTCAAAATCCATGTTACTGATGACATCCATGAATGCACCTACAGATATAAAATAAAAATGAAATTAATGACAAATGATACCAATAAAAGATGAAAGCAAGCAATATGATTACGCAGCAAATTTGATTATTTTATTGCAAAGAACATCATGGTTAGGTGTACGCCCACATTTATACTCATCAATGAGGTAAGATACCTGCAATATTGTAACTTGTAAGCAATAAGTTCCATTGATGATGATAAATGTGAGAAAATGCATCAAGAGGGGTGTGACTAACCACTTTGTCCTAACATTCATTGTAAGATGTACAACTTCCAGTGCTACATCAACCTGAAAAAAAATGTTGATATATTTCCTTCAATACTAATCAAACTTGGAAGAAACAAAGAAAAAGATTACATAATCAGGGATTTGAGTGATAGAATCGAGAAGTTAATTTGTTAAAACAAAGCAGGGAAGTGTTTTTGAGCCTTCAAATCCAGTTAAGAACTAACGGAACTCTAAAGATAAAATGAGATGGATAATATGAAGGTGAAGAAAGTAACCTGATTGCAAACAGCTTTTACGTACTTCAAATCCTCTTCACATGGACATTCAGACCAAAAGTTCTGGAAATCTTCCTACGAACGAATTTAGTACCAGAACTAGCTAAGGAATTATAGGTTTTAAACTTCAAAATGCTCAAAGACAAAGAGAAAGGTAAAAGTTAAATAAGAAACCAATAAGAGAGGAGATTTTTATTCATTTCAATCATATCATCCAGCACAAAAATCGATGTTAAACTCTTGAATTGGAGCAGATGTATCATCCGACAAGAGATGAGAAATTTGCAAAAACTTACAATTTGAATTTTTAGATAACCAACAAAATTAAGTTTATGGGCATACGCACTTTGAACCAGACATTAAGGTAGAAAGCGGTGCAGGAGTGGCCGGATGCGTGGAGGAGGCGAAGTGCAACACTGCTATCAACGCCACCACTGAGAAGAACTGTAATTTGAGAGGGCGCTTGCTATTGGTCATTGAGCAAGACAAGTAACTGCTGTCCAAATCAGAAGTCGTGTCGTTAGAAATTTGGGGAACTTCTGTAGATGATAGAGAACAAGGTGTGTTGATGGATAAGATTGTTCTATCAGCTCGAGGGTAGATTTTTAGATTTATTAATCGCTGAGGTTTGTGAAGCGAGTGTGAGACGAAAGCCTTGAGGGGTAAACAGTACATCTTGGTTGTGGGGTGAAACAGAGCCGCCATTGTTGTTCTGAGCATCATTTCATCGAGCTTTTGCGCCGTGTTGATGACACTGTGCGTGAAAATAATAATTTAGAATGAACTATTTACACTTTCACCCCTATACTTTAAATTTCCTGTCAATTTTATATCAAGACATAAAAAGTTAAACACTACTACTAGCCTAATAGAAAGCTCAGCATAATCATTGAAATATAAGGTAAACACCTCTTTAATTTGCAAAAACATTACAACTTACTAGCATGTAATGTCATTTTCATATCATTCTTACACCAGACACCTATAATGCTAGGCTCACAACGGCTCATCCCCGTCGTCATTTTCATATCATTCTCTGTCTCCGGCATTCTCAGCATTCTGTTCTCGACATACATTTTTTTTCTTTTGGTTTCGAACAAAAAGAAAAAAAGAGCAGCTAAAGAATGTAATTAACCTAGAATAAAAAGATTTTTAACCCTAGCTAACCGTACAAACATTCTCTCATCTTTTCTATCTTAATTAAGGTGTGTGTGTATGTGTGTGTGTATATATATATATAGTGTACCCGCGCAAAGCAGCGGCGACAAATAGTTTTCGGGCTGTAATTAACTCATTTCGTTGAATAGTTTCCTTGTGGCAAAACAGTAAATAAAAATTTAATAATGAATCTTGTACATCAAATTGTCACGAATGAAATAACCATTAACCATAACAAATAAAAAACAGTAGTAAACAGAAGATCTATCCCCTAACTACTATGCCATGAAACAAAAGGTTCACATGCATCAAATCAATCACTCGTATAGCTTTTGCTAATCATCCTTAAATTTGGCCTTCACTCATGCTTAACCATTATTAATTTTTGGTTTGCATATTAAATGTTTCAACAAAATTCTTATGTTTCCGACTAGAAATTTTCATGCTTAAGCAAGTTGTAATGTTTTTTTTGTACAACAATAAAGCAAAGTTTAAGAAGGTTATAAATTCTTATGAAGCTATAAATTCTGAAAGAAATAACATCAAGTAAAGAAAAATAAGCTTGCTGAAGAATGGAAACTCGGTTTGAAGACCGGTGAA